GGGGGGGGGGGGGGGTTGAGCTGAAGTGGTCGAGGATGATCCTGCTTGACTCCCTGACTCATGGGACTCATGGGCGGGGCTGGTCTGAGATGTGTGGCTATAGGCTCTTGCTCAGCTGTCCCGGCACTGTTTGCTCTCCACTGCGATGCGCTCCAGGACTCCAATCTGCCAGAATTCAGAAATAACACACAAGTGTTACAAGACATACGAGAGCCCCCGATATGTGGCAGCTTGACCTGCAGGCCCACTACACTTCAACCTCTCCTACAGGGGCCGCAGGGAACTATTTATAGCACTGCAGAAACCAGACCGATGCATCACTGCTCCTATTCCCACAGTAACTCTCATACTGCATGCAAAGACAAACCTAAACATGCAATCCAGAGCAGACTGCTGTTCCTGTTCCCTCTGATAACAAGTAATGACCGGAATGTATTTCCTGAATTAAGAGATTACGTAAATAATACACGCTTTATGCGTAGCTTCGACAATGATAAAGATACAACAACCAGCACAGCACCATGTGCTGAGCAGCCGAAGTTCCATAATTGCATAATGATAAGCGGACCGCTGTCACACATTTTACAAGCGTTTTTACAGACTTGAAAGCTGAGGACAAACTTGGCAGAAGAACTGCAGCAATGAAAGCTGTCGAGTGAAACTTTCCATGTTCATCGAAGCAGTGACATGTTTCAGAAAGAGAGCGTGGGCGTTTTACATCCAATTTGAGGGAAAGTAGGTCTCTTTCAATTTCACGCTAATTCCCAACGATGACATGAGTGATCATGGTGCAGCCTTGTTGTCCAGACTGTTGCGTAACGGTCTGGGATTGGTCCAGCTCTGCCAGAGATGAGAAATGATCATCATGTTCTGGAAGAATCCGATGTTGGATTATTCAAAGCTGATGTCATGTGCTGCCTTTGCAAGGCATTGCAACTAATCCCGAGCAGACGCAGTTCTCACAGTTGGTGGCGGCTGAGTGTTTGTTTTTGTTTTTGTTTATTCCTGCCCATTTTGTGTCACAGTGAAATGTAGAGAGGCTTTTTTTGTGTGTGTAACTGTCATTTCCTGATGAACATTTTCACACTTTTCTCACTTTGGACTAAGATCCAGGCACCTCATAGCTTTGGGTGTCATTACATTCAGCACACAGCAAGTATACAGAGCAATTAAGAAATACACACCTTCCTCTGGCGTGTGTTTTTAAAAACATTTTTGAATAAATAAAATTAAAACATTATGTGGGATTCAAATGAAAACAAGACCAGAATTCTTCTTCTTCATGCAAAAAAAAAAGAAGATCAAATAGGATCTATTACATATTTCCACTGTGGATCTAAAACAAGTAACTGTTTGACGTCTTGAATATCCATTTTTGCTCTTGATTATTCTCTTATCTTATCTACTGTAGTACAGAGGCCGTCTCAATCAGTCAGAAATGCAGCTCAGCCATCGTAGAGGAAACCAGAGCTATGCTTTGTGCAGACATTTGTCTTCTAATGCTATAACTGGCCAGAGAGCTTCATTAATAAAACATGAACCGCTGTCTCCAAAGCCATCTGTTCCTCTGCACCCAGCAGGCACTGTATATTCACTCTGATTCAAATATATATATACATATATATTTGATACAATTTAATAATACTAGACTTTGTATACAAACATAATGAAGGAAATATGTAAAATTAGTATTGAACATCAGTGAAGCATTCACATGCATAAATACTACAGTAGGTCTTGGTGCAACAGAACAGCGTCTTTTGCTACATGAGTTATGACAGACTGTAGATTCAAGCAGGTTAAAGCAAGTTCCCCCGACAGGCCTGACACAACAGGAGAGCACATGGGCCGCAGTGAATGAACCCGAGTTAGTCAGCTATTACCCCATTAAGACTTATACTCTCTCTGCCCTCTCACTATAAATGCTGAAGGGAATGATGAGAGTAGTGATGCTAATAGACCTGCCATCAGGACCCGGTTACGGGTCAGTGGGCACTGGGCTGCAGAGGAGGAGGAGGAGAGAGAGACAGAGCAGAGGCCCCACAGCAGAGCGATGGTACTCTAGGCATCTGATGCTTTCCACTTGTGATGATTATTGTTTCTAATAAATTGGTCTGTTTGGGGTCTTTGGTTTTCTCCAGAGCACATACAAACAGAAATCTCACATTGAGATGATATTTGAGTAAAGACTTTTTATGAGTCAGCAATTCATCAGCTTCATGTCACATATAACCACACATTTTGAAAGAAATTAGTGAAGCAAAACAAGGTTCGAGGACAAATTGCTTGCCCTCTGACGTCTGATGTCAGCAACATGCTCACAATGACAATGCTAACATGCTGATGTTTACATGATTTTCCACCATCCCATAGAGTGTTAGCATGCTAACATTTGCTAATTAGCACTAAACACAAAGTTTGGTGATTCCCAGAAAAAGTCAGGGTATCATCAAAGTCCTAATTTTCTGATGATTAAATGTCTGTACAATATAAGTCATCCAATAGTTGTTAATAATGGTAATATTTCATTCTGGAGCAAAGTGGTTTTCTTGCTGCTTAGTCATTAATGTAGGAAACAGGTTGAGTGGATGATACAAGGCGACCATCTCGCTCTGTAACACATGTATACTGGCACACACAAACTGTAGCACTAACTGAATAAAAAGAAATGGTCACAAATGTATGAATATATTATCTGAATTCACAGTGAGCACACAGCAAAGACAAATCACTGAGGCAGACAGAATGTCTCCAGAATCTCGGCCAAAACAAGTGACATTTAAAAAAAAGGTCTTTCCAGAATCACATCAGTATTTTAGGTAACATGCATCCGGCTTGTGCTGTAACTTGAACATTTACTTTCCTCCTCAGTGCTAACCTTGTGCAAACACAACGCAAATCAGCACCAGTAGGCTGCCGCTGAGCATGATGGGTAGAGGGAGAAGTGAGGAGAAAGAAAGGTGTTGTGTGTGTGTGTGTGTGTGTGTGTGTGTGCTGGTAGGGGGTCCGACAGAGGAACCAAAGCCAGTGGACAAAAGCTACTGAATGAAAACACAAGGCGGGGGAGAGAGAGAGAGGAAAGACAAATGAGGTCAGATTTCAGGAGGTCTGGCTGTGTCTGTGGTCAGTCCGAGCCAGTCTAAATCCAACTGTATGTGTTTAGGAGACCTCAAACCAAGGTTCTGTGAGGACTGGAACAGCAGTGGTCAGGGTGCGCAACCCTGGACATATTTCTCACACTGCTTGCTGTTTACAGTGTCCCTGCACTGCTGGACTGGAAGGCTTTAAGTTTAAGCGTCAAAAGTCAAGGCTGTGACCCTTTGTCCCCGACCCCTTCGTGACCCTCAGCAACACAGGCGCTACTGGCCTGAGTATGGCTGTGACCGTAACGACTCCGGATGTTTAAGAGTTAAAGGTAAACTGTGGCAAGATACTACCAGGGGTAAGTAAAAAGATGTGTTTTCTTCAGTTGAACCAACTAATTCATATATTCTATTCAGTTTGGTGTTTATACAGGAATCCTTTTTGCTAAAGGACTTTCCTGAAAGCTGTATTTCTGCACTCTGCTATCACAGTCACTATAATGTACTGAGCAGGAGAGTGGATCTCTCCATAGTTCATCTGGAAGACAAACAGGATGTTCGGACAGTAATTAACTTGAATCAGTGGACGCACTAAGAGCCGGACAGCCTTGAGTGGTCTGAGTTCGTACGGGATTTTCTGCTGCGCTCTCGCAGTCAACAGTCAGCACAACAGCAGCTGTACAGCAGTTGTATAAGATGTGAAATAGCGTGACAATGCGTGACTGTCGGCTGCCACTTTGTCTTTATGAGCATTTAAGCCACTTTTCACAACGACGTTCCAAGGACTCACCTCAGCTAACCACTGACATCTAGAATTTTCAGTTCGTTTCTGTGTTTATGTATACACCTATGAAAATACAGGCCGTCATCACATTTTATGGTCCTGCTGGGCCTGAAACCCTGGACCCAACAGCCCATAATGTCTTCTCACACATGCACAGGAAAGAGCAGTTACAGTGAAGGTGTTAGCTCTGCTCATTTAGTCCCTCATTAAAGATTAAACACATACTGTTCCATTCACTCTAATGGCTGGTAAAGTATGCTGGATTCCTGTTTTACTCATACTGTTGTCCCCTTCTACAGACTGTAATCTTAATGTAACCTAATCTTCATTTAATAGGATCAGTCATCAAGCCTGCCTGACTGAAGTCAATACGCTGGCAGAGGAAAAACATGCCAGCCACAACAGAGCATGGAAATGGGTAATTGCATCTAAATCCAGGGAATTAGATGGTTTAATAAGGTGAACTACATCGTACCGCAATGTTATAGTGTACCCAGACATGACTGTTTTCTTGATGGTTCAGTTGACTTCCAACTACAGAGAAACATGAAGCATATGTTGCATATTAACCTCATTACGAAACTTCATTAGTTGTGATAATGGACTTGTTTCAGACGTCACGGCTCCAGTTATGTAATAGTAACACTCGGCTGATTCAACTCAAACTCTCATGCTTTCCTTGAGGGAAATTTGTATCATGTTATATTCATGAGTAAGATGCACTTCGTTACGTCTGGCACACACACTATAAGACGCTCTCCTGCAACAACACAGAGATTTATTTCTCAATAATTTGCCTTTAAAAATGAGGAAAACTGAGAGGCATGTTTGTGTCATGTT